AACTCAATGGACATCAACTTGAGCAAACTCCAGAAGATAGTGGAGGACAGGGAAGCCTGGTGTGCTGCAGTCCACGGGGTTGCAAAGAGTTGGACACGACTGATCGACAGAACAACAACAAACGATGTGCCTCTGGGATTTCTCTTCCAGTCTAGCTTAAATGTCACTACTGCACTGATTTTCCTTTAATTAAAAATTTCCAAAAGCTCCAAAGTCCAAAGAGCCAAGTTCAAGGACCACAGCCTGGTGCTCACCAGCCTTATCACTCAGTCTCCCTATAGTACACCATGGACATCCTACTCTGGCCTTTGGCCTAGAATGTCCCAAACCCTCTACCTAAATCCCAGACATTCTGTAAGGCCCTGCTCAAGAGTCACCTCCTCCAGGAAGCCTTCCTGGCTCAAGAGTCCCAAGCCAGAGTCTCCTGTGAACTTAGATCATTCCATTGTGAGGCCCTCCATTAAATACTGCCTTGAGAAGGATCCTGCGAGGCTCTTTCACATTCTTGTCTCAATGTGCTTTAGTGCATTTCTGGCTAGATAGGGCCAGAGTCGGACAGATAGGGTGAACCAGCAGTGTCAGACAGGCTGCTTACAGGAATGAATCCTAAGGCCCAGCCAAAGAGGCCAATGATCAAGTGAGCAGTCGGCACAAAACGCTCTGCTGGGGGAGAACCCAAGAGTGAGGAAGGAGGAGATGGGGAGCTGGGAAAGCAGGCAGGTCCAAGCTGAAGACAGACTTCTGCAGACGGCAGGGCAAGCGCTCCACGGAGCCAGCAGACGAGGAGCAGTGGGACGGGCCAGTGCAGAGCTGGGTTCTTTTGTGTGGCTGCCCGGCTGCTGCTTGCCTGGGCACAGGGCCTCTCCAGATCAGCTTTCTGATCCTCAGATGAGGGCTCCTTAAAGTCTGGGAACCACATATGTGCTTATCCACACACTGCCAGGCCTTAAGAGGCAGAGCCAAATGAATGCATCTCTGAAAATGCTCCTTTCTCTTCCTGCTCATTTGTGGTCACCCGCGTGCTGGCTGTCTGGACCACACCTAACAACCAGGGCTCTGACCGCTGTTCTATTTGTATGTTGACAGCTGGAGGAGTCGAAAGGAGAGTTCCCTTCTCTGCTCTCGGAAGGCAGACAGAAAACAATCAATTTTTTCATGCCTTGCCAACATCTGATGGAAGGGCACCTTCTAGCCTCAGTTGTGTATCTATAACTAGCATGGAATCTCACAGGCCTTGTGATCTCTCCTTAAGGAGACTGCTATTCTGTGTCTCCCCCACTACCAAGGGCCCCAAGAAGCATCTCATGGAGCAAAGCGAGAGGAGAGACCCCCACCCTCAAACTGGCTGTGCATGATATAGACCATCCATGGGTAATTTATTACTTTCAGGTGATCTCAGGGCCTTCGTATCGACCACTAAGAATAGGATCTGCACCTCACTGGCCTCTGCATCCAAGAAAGGGCAACTCCCTTCCTCAGAGAAGAAAAAGCTTATGCTTCACAGAGGACCTGTGCCTGGAAAGAAGATGAGAGCCCACCTGATGGACCAGAGTGCCCAAGTGAGGCCCTGGATGCACTCTGCTATATGGGGTGAGTTTGGTTTCCTGAGTCGTCATACAAAGTGTCACCTATCTGACCAACGCATTCTAGTTCTTCAAAAGACATCACCCTACTGAAGTTATTTCCCAAAGTGGATCTCATCTTGTCCACTCCAGGGCAGCACTTGGATAACCTTCCGGTTTTTTATTTCCCACCAAATTTAGTGTATAGTAGTAGTGGTAAGTGGAAACTCAAGAAATAGAAACCTATCCATTTAAATCTACTTCACCTTTTTTTCCAAAAAGGACTTGAGGCAGTTTAAAAAGTGAGTGATATAATTCAATAAAAAACAGATGAAAACTGAGACCTCCCTGATGGTCCAGTAGCTAAGACTCCATGCTCCCAATGCAAGGGGCCTGGGTTTGATCCCTGGTCAGGGAACTAGTTCCCACATGCTGCAACTAAGCGTTTGCACACCACAACTAAGACCTGGTGCAACCAAATAAATAAACAAACAAAATATGTTTTAAACAGATGAAAACATCCCACTGAAAAGAGAACAAGGCAGGAAGAGAAAACAAAGCTAGGATCTAGGGCATGCAGAGAAATTGTCAGCTCTGCAAAACTGCTAAACATGGTTACAAATTCAGTTCTGAGTTTTCTTGGGGCTAAAGCAAGGAAAGAATTGTGGTCTGTGAGGAAACCCCAAGTATACAGAAGATGAGAGAAAAAACAAAAATGCACCTCCAACTGCAAAGAAGTCCAGTTTCTGCTAGGTGCTATAGGGTAACTTCCTGAACATAAATTCCTACAAGTGGGATTTTGAAATCAAAGGTTTTGTAGATTTTTTAAGGCCTCTGGTGTGCATCGCCAATCTCTCCTGGAAATTTTGTCCTGATTAGATTCCTCCTAGCAGCCTGCTCTCTTCCCTACACTGGGGATTATCCTTTTTTGGAGAGTAGAGTTCTTTGCAAATGTAACAGGTACAAATTCAGTGTTTTCATCTATAAATTGTGAATTAAAATTATCCTGAATATTTTTCTTACCCATTCTGACAATAAGCATCAGCTGAATTGCTCACCTCATATCCTATACATACATATTTTTAATTAAATTGTTTCTCTCTTTTTTGGGGGGCTGAAGCTGAAGCTGAAGCTCCAATACTTTGGCCACCTGAGGCGAAGAGTTGACTCACTGGAAAAGACCCTGATGCTGGGAAAGACTGAGGGCAGCAGGAGAAGGGGGCGATAGAGGATGAGATGGTTGGATGGCATCGTTGACTCAATGGACATGAGTTTGAGCAAACTCTGAGAGATAGTAAAGCACAGGGAAGCCTGGCGTCCTGCAGTCCATGGAGTCGCAAAATGTCAGACATGACTGAGTGACTGAACAAATCTGGAAAGGGCTCTTTTTCCTATAAAGGAAATAGATTCTTTGCCATATTGTTAGTTGCCTTTCTGTTAGCAAGTTTTCAGACATCCAAAACTTCATCTTTTTTAGGTTGTAAAATAAAAGATTTTTTCCTTTCTCCCTAAGTCAGTCAATTAAATATTAAGTACCTACTCTGTACCCAACACTGAGACTTCCCAATTTTACTGAAAAAAAGATAAAGTAACTTGCTCAAGGTCAGTCAGCAGTAGGGGAATGCCTTCAGCAAATACTTGTTGAATGAATGAATAAGTGAATTGAGAGACATGCAGTTTTACTTATCCCCACCAAGTGGCAATTTAACCCTCTGTTTTAAGTACCACTGGTCTAGGGTCATCCCTTATCTCAAGAAATACTGCTTCTACGCTAAGGCACACATGTTTTAAGTCTCTCTGCAAGCAGAGTGCTGGAAGGAAATACACCTGCACCATCTCCTTTAAATTAACCAACTGGTACCCATCCTGCTGGAATAGTAAACCATGTCATGTCACTACACTTCTGTTTGGAAGGAAAACTGCTTTCATCTTTTTAATTACTAGGAGACCTAAAGCTCCAAAATTCTCAAAGGATTCTCAAGGATTAACAGACATCGACTTAATGCCCAAAGTGCAGAGCCTGAACAAGCAGCACTGGCATCACCTGGGGTCTTGCTAGAAAGGCAGGATCTCTGCCACACCCCAGAACCACTGAATCCGAATCTGCATCTTCACAAAAGCCCCAGGGAGTTCTTATGTACATTTGAAATTGAGAATCATTTAATTTGTTTACTTTTTGCCACACTGAAGGGCGTATGGGATCTTAGTTTCCCAACCAGGGAATAAACCTGAGCCCCCTGCAGTGGAAACATGGAATCTTAACCACTGGACCCCCAGAGAAGTCCCAAGAATCACCAGTTTTAGATGAAATATCAATTTCTTGAAACTAGCTCCTAACAAAGCAATATGCTTACTCTAAGTGGTGAAGAAAAAAGGTTAAAGAACCGGAAAAGTTCCCCCACAAGCTGCGGTATTTGTGGGTAGATCTTGGTTTGTCTCTTTTTTTCCCACTCCCTATAAAACAAGGAATATTGAGAACTCAAATATTAGCTGTTAACTGTCTAGGGCTGACACAGGATCTGGTACCACTAATACAAACAGAATGAATTTAACTCTTAACAGGCCACGAAGAAAAAAACCCAGCTAGGTGAAGGCTTGCTGTTTAGTTGCTCAATTGTGTCTGACTTTGCAACCCCAGGGACTGCAGCACACCAGGCTTCTCTGTCCTTTACCATCTTCTGGAGTTTGCTGAAGCTCATGTCCATTGGGTCAATGATGCCATCCAACTGTCGTCCTCTGTCACCCACTTCTCCTCCTGCCCTCAATCTTTCCCAGCATCAGGGTCTTTTCCAGTGAGCTGGGTGAAGGCTGGGAAAGAGGTATTCATATAACAAAGAATAAAAATGCAGATTGTCTCAAACTAGTAATCATTATTTCTGAAAACACCATGATCAGTACTTCAAGTCCAAGTTTTCAACACTCTCAGGAAATCTGTTCTCTCACCTACAAGGCAGTACCCCCTCCTCAGCCTTTACTCTGAGGCTTCAGGAATGGTGATAAGTACCGGACCTGCTTTATCCTATTCATGCTCCCAGCAACTCTTTGTGGTCATTTATCATCTGCATTTTGCAGATGAGGAAACTGAGGCTCAAAGAACCTGAGTGACAGAACCAAAGGTCACTCTCAGTCTGTTGACAGGTTTTGACCGGGTCACTTGGGTGTGTGAGCTCTGTAGCCCAAGCCTGTCAGAACCCACTAGGCTGGGTGGTGAGAAGCAGCTGTCTCACCCAGACAGGCACTTTTTTTTTTTTAAACAAAAAATGGCTTTAATGAGGTATAATCTACATACCACAAAACCCACCACATATTTTTAAGATGCTGAAGAATGTGAACATTCATGGAAATAAAGATGTTCTTTTCCCTCCAGAAGGAAAGCCAAAGAGGTGGTGAACCCAGATGAGCCGGATTCCAAGGAGCCCCGGAGTTGGGAATGCCTACCTTGGATTCCATACAGCCGGTTGAGGCGCGACCTCCGGGCCTCGTCAGTGTAGGGGACAGCGAGCCACGGCATCTCACTGAAGTACTGTTTGAATGAGTCCTCAGACCTACAGAGACACATGCACAGAGACAAAGCTCTATCACTCCTCAAGGCACCACCACGGGGTCCTCCTCGCCTCCCACCAAGTTGCATCCAGGGCCCTACAGACACGCCAACTTCTAATCACTGTGCTCCCTGGATGCCAGGCTGTGGAAGGACCGACCCAGCACACAAGGCTCCACACAACAGGTGCACGCCAGGCTGAAATGCCAGGAACAGACTGCTCCTCTGCAGCCCACCCACTCAGTTCATGCTCAGCTTTTTTTTTCAACATGGACAAGCCTTCCTTTAATTAGGAGCCTAGATGTTCAGACACCTCCTTCCCTGTCATACTTGTAATCTGTGCATGTAACTGTGATATGCACAGAACACTTTTGATCAAGCCTACACCTATGGTTCCATGTCTAAGAAACTCGAACAGTGATAAATCTAATTAAGTGATAGAAGCAGATCAGAGATCTGTGGGGCTGGAATTTGGCGGCAACTGGGAAAAGGCACAGGAGTTCTTTTTTTTTTTTTTGAGAATTAAAAAAAAATTGGCTGCACCCCATTGTATATGGGACCTTAGTTCCCCGACCAGGGTTTGAACCCACACCCCTTGCATTAGAAGGAGGATTCTTAACCACAGGGGAATCCCACGAGGGATTCTTTTCATTGATGGGAATGTTCTATATCTTCACTGTGTTGGTGACACAGGTACATACATTAGTCAAAATTCACTGAACTGTATACCTAGAATGCAGTATTTTACTGTATGTAAATTCTACTTCAATAAAGTTTATGTTTTTAGTTTATTTTTAAAAAGATTTTTATTTTTTTGGTGGTGCAGCTTGTGGGATCTTAGTTCCTCGACCAGGGATTGAACCAGGGCCCTTGGCAGTGAGAGCACAGAGTCCTAACCACTGGACCACTGGGGAATTCCCAAGTTGATGTTTTTTTTTAAGCTTTAAAAAGCCCTGTGACATGGCTTCAAGCTTGCCCTAGGGAGCTGAGGGGTGGGCCCAGAGGCCAATACAACTGAGCATAGCATCATACAGGCATCAGGGATACAGCAGTGCATACAAGGCCCTCAGTGTGTTGGCATCTCAGCGATTCTTCTATGAACAGGGAGTCTGGTGGCTTGGTCTGAACTGGGGCTGGAGTTTTGAGATGAAGGAAGGTCAGTGATGAGTCAAGTTGGTAAGAAGGTAAGAAACAGAGGAAATTGAGGCTAAAAGGCCCTGACATACTCTGGGAAGAAAGTCTACTCTTCTTGTTTTGTGGGGAGCCCCCAGAAAAAGCATGTGACCAGAGCTAAGAAAAATGAATGTAGAGCCAGCTAAGACAGGTGTCATATTCCATTAGTCTCTGGCTCTTTTCTTTCCATCCTTCTTCTTCCATATCTGCTCACCACCATCCAAAAAGCTGAACCAACCAGGAAAAAAAATGCATCCTAATCTCCAATGCCCCAGGCCAGAATAAGGATGTCCCTTAATACTGACAGCAAGAATGGGTTTTCCTTGGCTCCCCTTTAGACAATTACATGATTGAATATGAAATATATCTGCCCTTCCGCCAATCATCCCAGAGAGGTCTTCCCCACGCTCTAGCCCCAAGTTCTCTGCTACAGAGCATGTAAGGCAAGAGCCATCCATCCACCTGTGGAAAGGGGGAGACGCACCGCCACCCCGTCAGCACACGTTACCTGTCCGCACTAACAAAGATGATCTCGAATTTCTGGCCTGCCTCCTTGATCTTCCGGTAGGACTCCACCAGGACCCGGGTGAGGCTTCGGCAGGGTGGACACTGCAAGAAATGGGTGGGAGCCTGTGGCCTCCGTCCTGCCTTCTCCTGCCCCAGTCCCAGTCACCTGCCAGCAGAGGCCAGTTCCGCAAGACCCACACGGGATGTGGATCGCATTTCCAGCTTATGGAAGAGGCAGAAATAAATGTGCCTCTTGTGATGGTGAGCTGCGGCCAGTGGGCAGCTGTTAAAACAGATCCCCGAAGGGAACGTGGGGAGCCTCATTAGAATGGGTTAGGGGGACTCCCCTTTTAATTTATGTATTTTTAGGGAGAAGGACCTTCCTTTTAGGCCACTCCAAAGAAGTCCTTTTCTTGCTGCTATTATCATTCATAATAGCGAGCACTGGAAGCATGCCAGCAATGCACGAGGCCTAGGAGAGAGCAGGAATGCCAGGAAATGACACCTGAGCAGTCGCACCTCCAGAAGCCAACCCCAGCTAGTCTTGGTGGCGACATCACTGCTCCCTTCGGTCTGGATGAAAGAGGGACCCAGCACTCACCCAGTGTGCGGAGAAATAGACTCCCACGTGAGACCCCTCCAGGCTGCTGCTCTCCAGGGACTGCCCGTTATTTCTAAGCAAGGGCCCTGCAATGACTTCCCTGAAGGGTTTAGGTCCCCAGGGGAATTCCAAACCTGAAACAGGCAACATATGGCGAGAATGTTAAGACTCTTCCTTGGGGCCTTCAACCCAAGAGGCTTCCAGGATGCAGAGCGCAACAACTTTATCACCAAATGGTATTGGCTAACATATCCATAGGACTGGCAGCTAAAGCAAGAATAAAAGCAGGACTCATTCGCAGAAGAGCCCTACCTATTCTCAAAGCCATGGTTCCTGAACCTGGAGGATCACAGGACCCATCTCCTGGGGAGCTTTTGAAAAGTACAGAAGCCAAGGTTACCCACCACCCCCTGCCCCACCCCTATCTCAAGATCCTGGGGCAGGGGTGAAGATGCACATCCAAAGCAAGGCCAAACGATTCTCCAAGTAACTGTGATGATGGACAGTTGGGGAATCACTGTCTTGGGTATTAACCAAGTATGTATGCGTGCTCAGTCACTGAGTCACATCCGACTCTTTGCGACTGTAGCCCACCAGGCTCCATTGTCCACAGGATTTTCCCAGGCAAGAATACTGGAGCGGGTTGCCATTTCCTTCTCCAGGGGATCTTTCTGACCCAGGGATAGAACCCCCATCTCCTGCATTGGCAGGCGGATTTTTTACCACTGATGCACCAGGGAAGCCCATTAACTGTGAGTTTCTTCAATTCCAACCCTGGACTCTCAGTGGCTCCCAACTTTACATTTTAGAATCAGCCAGGGAATTTTAAAATCTGATGCTCCTGGGTCCCACCTCCAGAGATTCTGATCCAGCTGGTCTGGGTTGGGGCCCAGGGAACCAAGTGAGAGGAGAATTTCAGTCTAGTGAAAGGAAAGTGCAAAACCACTCGACCCAGATGGTTGACATTCTGATGACACATAAGCCCCAGGCAGGAAGAGCATGCAATATGCTCCCCGCTCAACAGAACAGCGTTTTCTCACAGGGTGGTCCAGAGACCACTGGCTCAAAATTGCCTGGAGTGGGTGGGGAGCAGGAGGGAGAAGCAGATCCTGGCTGGAAAAGCAGGTGGCTGATTCCACCCTGAAGCACATGGAATCAAAAATCTCTGGGGGTGGGGCTGGGGAAGCTGGGTTTTTAACAAGCTTCAGAGTTGGGGGTGGTGGTGGTGGGGCGCGCGTGCATGCCTGTGTGTTTACACTCAAAAGACAGAGACTTGGTTCTATTGTACCTGCCTTGGTTTGTACTGAGGGCAATTGTTTGAAGAAGATGAAATTTTTACTGGGAAAATTTGTGATCAGGGCTGAACTCTGTAATTGGATGAATAAGTGAGGGACGGAAGATCTTATAGCCTTTGTATGACTCCAGTGCCCAGAGGAAAGAAACAGGCCCTGGACAGCCTCTGAGCAAGGTGACGAGAGTCACCCAGAAATGGCCATCCACCCAGCCGGTCAGGAAAACCAAGGCTTAGGATTTGGGCAACACCAAGGAACGAGGCTTCCCTGATGGCTCCGGTGGTAAAGAATCTGCCTGCAATGCAGGAGACCCAGGTTTGATCCCTGGGTCAGGAAGATCCCCTGGAGAGAAGAATGACAACTGATACCAGTATTCTTGCATGGATAATTCCATGAGGAGCCTGGTGGGCTACAGTCCATGGGGTTGCAAAGAGCTGAACTCAACTGAGTGACTAACATTTTACTTTCACTTTTTCACTTCAAGAAATGAGGGGCGCTAGGGTCAGGAGAACAACACGGAGACTGAAATTTTGCTGTGGTAATATATATATTTTTAATTTATTTATTTTTAATTGAAGGATAACTACTTTACAACATTGGTTTGATTTCTGCCATATATCAACATGAATCAGCCATATGTGTACATATGTTCCCTCCCTCCCACCTCACACCCTCTTCCACCCTGCTCTAGGTTGTTACAGAGCCTCAGTTTGAGTTCCCCGAGTCATACAGAAAATTTCCATTGGCTATCTATTTTACATGATAGTGTATATGCTTCCATGCTACTCTCTCCATTCATATCACCCTCTCCTTCCTCCCCTGCTACGGTAATATTTTCAAGAGAAATAAAAACAAACCCCAAACCACACAGGCTGCCTCTGATTGTAGAGGTGAGAGCTGCTGCTGAAACAGCAATAGAAGTCAGTAGCTGGGCTCAAGCTGCTTCTCAACGGCCTCCTCAGTCCTCAAAGCTAAACTTCCTTTTTCAGATTCCTTCTCCTTTGGCCCATGAATTAAAGCCCCCATGAGGGACATTCTGATCTCTGTAAAAACCTTAACCATGACCTGGAGAATACTATAATTTCATCAAGACAATATTCTCTAGCCAAATAACCCCGCACTCATGTATTTCCTTTTTACGCTCTCTACCAACAGGGAGGAGGGCAGGGTCGGGGGACACGGCAAGGTCTTACCCTCTGGGTCATCGCGGATCACCAGCAGCCCGTTCCTGCACACGACCTTCCCGGAAGTGGCGTCTAAGAATATGAGCGATGGAATGTTGGAAATTCGGTATTTGTTCCAAAGTTTAAGCTGTGAGAAGAAAAGTTAAAGAAGGTGGTTAAATTCAAAATGGCAGAGTTCTTTGGAGCCTTCTGAAGGGTAGACAGGCTGGAAAACATGAAGGTACAGATAAATGAATTACTGACTAAGAGCAGGGCTGGCTGGGCAAAAGGGACAAGAGAAGCTACAATCCCACTTATCCCTGAGGTCTGAGACAGTGGAGGGGACCCTGGGTCTGAGTCCCAACCAGGCTCAAGTCACAGCAGACGCCAACAGAAGACCACACTTGTCCTGGTGGTCTTTTCGCTCCTACCTCCCCCACAGGCACTGTCTCTAAGAAGCATACTGAAGATGGATCAGGCATTTTTCAAACACAATCAGATATCCACCAGGTGGTTGAGGCAGGAAGCGGGGCTTTTTATTGGCGACTCTCCACCCGATCAGCAGGCAGGTGCTGGGCGGTATCCCCTTGGCCCCAAGGGAGAAGGGACGAGGGTATCCAACAGGTGATCAATACTGAAATCAGCCCCTCTCCCCACTTCACCAGGTCCCTGCAGAGGGAATATCAGTAGTCGCTCTAAGCGTGTGCCACTCAGCCTGCGAACACCCCAGCCAGCCCCAACCCTCAATTCCCCATGCCACTCAAAACAACCCCTGGTCCTTGGCAGGTTCCTGCGGTCAGCGGTGCCAACTGTCAGAGGGCCAAGGTCGAAGAGGACCGAGGCTGAGAAAGCATGACGGTGACAGCCCAGGGCTAGCAGCCCAGTGTGTGCTGGCTCTTTGGTAAGCTCCCAGACACCTGGGTGGACGCTACTCAGCTGAGCCGCCAGGTACTCTGGAATTGAACTGCCAAGTCCAGAAAATGCCATAATGAAATGAAACATCAAACGTAACAGTGCACCTCCAGAGAAGAAACAAGGGGAAACCACAGGATGGCCCACTGGTGAGTCACTGCAAGCCTCCCTCTGGGGATCTGGGGCCCAGACAGGAGGGCTGGCTGTGTGGGCGCTGGCAGAACAGGGCGTGGAGGTGTCAAGGGAAACGGGCATCAGCCACACACAGCAGACGGAAAGGCGTGTGTGGCTGTGATCATTGTTTTCAACTCAGTCCCAAGCAGCCAGGGAGTCAGGCAGGGTATCTATCAGACAAGAAATAGGAGGCTTCCCCTGCCTGTGGAGACCTGGGTCTTGGCAGGAAGTGTTGTGGGACCCCACCTTTAACTGGGTGGGTCCCCATTAAGGCTGCATGTTTTTCCCAGCCCCACATTTCCGATGGGCACCCCAAACCAGCCAGGATTTCCGATCAAGAGTGACTCTGCACACACAATTTTCAGTGACTGATTTTGCACTATCTTGAGAATCCTGATACAGGATTCAGAAGAAACATTCTGTGAGGTTCAACAACAAAACAAGACCATTCTACCGCTGGGATCAGGTTTATAAGTTTGCTTATACCAGGATCCAGCCAGGTTAATAAAAAAAAGAGAGAGAGAAAAAGGAGAGGGGTGGGTATTAAAATTATCAGATTTTTCTGATTTAAAAAGGAATTATTGGGGGAGAAAAGTAACTATGTAAGAAAATGAGAAACATAGCCACAAAATTTGAGATAAAAATCACCAATGACTCATCATTTATGAAAGCTTAGATGATTTTATATTTCCACCAATGGTAAATCAGAGCACCCATTTCCTGGTACTCTCACCAACTGTTATCACTACCATTGGTTTTGTTTTTTTTTTTTCAATTGGATAGGAAAAAAAAAAAACGATGCCTCACTTTTTTTGCTCATCTTTATTATACTTACTGATGTTTAGGAGATATACATATATCTCACAGTTATAAATACACTGCTTTTCCCAATACGTGTTTTTTTTTACAAGAGTGCTGAAATTCATTCAACAGATATTATCTGAGCACCTACTATGTGCCAGCCCTGGTCTAAGCACAAGGGATACAAGAATAAACAAAGCAGGGACATTTCCCTGACTTGTGGTCCAGCAGTCTGGTGGTTTAGAATCCACCTGGCAATGCAGGGGCCACAAGTCTGACCCCTTGGTTCGGGAAAGTAAAATCTCACATGCCACAGAGCAACTAAGCCTGCACATTACAACTAGAGAGCCCACATGTTGCAACGAAGGTCCTGTGTGCTGCAACTAAGACCCGATGCAGCTACAACATAATATGAACATATATATGAATATGTATTATACATATATATATATGAAAATAATTTCAAGCACTTATAGGTAATGCTGGGTGGAGCAGTACTCGTTTTAGTGAGTGCTCTGGAAGGAATCTTTGAAGAACTGGCATTTGAGCACAGACCTCAGTAATAGCATGAAAAAGTCATGTGCAAATGGGGGAAGGCTGAATGGGGAAGGCAAGGGTGGATGCAGCCAGACAGTCAGGGGCCACAGTGAGGCCAGAAGGGCACTCACAGACTGGATGTTTCAGGTCCTGTAGACTGGTAAAAATAGTGAAATTTTATTCTAAGCATACAGTCAGCGTTCCATATCTACAGGTTCCTTATATGCAGATTCAACCAAGTATAGATCAAAAATGTTCAGAAAAAAAAAAAAAATCAAGAAAGTTCCAAAAATCAAAGCTTGAATTTGCCAAGCACAGGCAACTATTGATATAGTCTTACATCATATATATAACTATGTGTGTTATATGTACACTGTATTAGGTATTATAAGCAATCTAGAGATGATGTAAAGTATACCTGAGGATGTGGTATATGTAGGTCATATGCAACTACCACACTATTTTGTATAGGAGACTGGAGCATCCATGGATTTTAGTATCTGTGAGGATCCTGGAACCAATCCAGGATACTCAGGGCCAACTGTAATAGGAAGCTGCTGAGGGTTAAGGCGAGTGGTGCAAGCTGGTTTATCTTTTAAAAGGTCACTGTGGCCACTGTGAACAGACAGACATCAGGGGAAGACTAACTGGGAGGACCACTGCCAAGGGCCCAGGCAGGAGTGGAGAGTAGTGACAAGGACCTGGGCTGTAGCAGCACAGAAAGTGAGGACATGGCGGTGCATTTTGAAGACAGTCAATAGCGGAGGTTGACAAATGGATGTAAGGAAGGTGTGAGGGAAAGAAAAAGGTCAAGGGGGTACTGTACTGTGGCTTGGAGGCTTGAGCAAAAACGTGTCAAGGAGTTCCACTAACCATGATGAGGAACAGTGGCAGAGCAAGAAGTTTGAGAGGGGAAAAATCAAGATAGAAAAATCAAGATGTTCTGTCTTTGAGGTGTCTATTAGACATGCAAGTGGAGATTTCAAGTAAGCACCTGGTTTATAAATCTAGAGTAGGGACTTCCCTGGTGGTACAGTAGTTAGGAACCCACCTTGCAATTCAAGGAACACAGGTTTGAGCCCTGGTCAGGGAACTAAGCTCCCACATGCCACAGGGCAACTAAACCCACACAATGCAACTACAGAGCCCCCACTCTGGAGCCCGTGTGCCACAACTAGAGTCCATGCGACGCAGCAGAAGATCCCACGTGATGCAACGAAGATGCTGCGTGCCTCAACTAAGACCTGACACAGCCAAACAAATAAGTAAGAAAAGTTACTGTTTAAAAAATAAAGAAATAAGAAGAAATCCAGACTAGGGGGTGCAGGGTATGAGATACAATCAGGGATCCTCGGTGCCTAGATGCTGTTAGGGGCCATGGGCCCTGGGTGAGGTCATTCCGAGGAGAAGGCATGGCATCAGAGGAAAAGGGGCCCTCAGGGGAAAGCCAGGGACACCCATGGCAGGCTGAGGAGTGATGAGAGACATAGGAAAAAAAGGGGACTCTGGGGTCCCAATAGGCAGGTGTGGAAAGTGTTTGAGAGAGGAGAGTGTAGGTCACTGGGTCAAATGCTGCTGAGCTGTTGAGCACGATGAGAATAGAGAACAGACCGGTGGTCACACGTGATCTGGTTGGGGTTGGCAGGAGGGTAGTCAGCAGAGGGGTGAAGCTGACAGACACACTGGAATGAAGAGAGACAGCACCTCTATCCAACACACACGCCTACAGTGGGCCTGGGACCCAGACAAGTCCGGGTACTCCTGCCAACACGCGAAACATCAAGAGGAGAACAACAGAAAGAAAGGTTATAAAAAGAGAAGAAAATGGCAGATAAGGGGCCGAGGCAGTGACTACAGGCAATTCTCTTTAAGAGTTTTGCTGTAAAGGGAGAAAAGAAATAGGATTGTACCTAGATTGTACCTAGAAAAACACCTGATGAGGTCAAAGGGAGGGTATTTTAAAGATGGGAGGTACAGTAATATCGGGCTTCCCTGATGACTCCACAGTAAAGAATCTGTCTACAATTCAAGAGCTGCAGGAGACGTGGGTTCGATCCCCGAGTCGGGAAGATCCCCTGGAGGAGGAAACGGCAACCCACACCAGTATTCTTGCCTGGAAAAAATCCCACGGACAGAGGTGCCTGGCGGGCTACAGTCCATGGGTTCGCAAAGAGTCGGACACAACTGAGCGACTAAGCACAAGTTACTGTCATATCATATTTGCTTGGGATGATCTGTCTCAGGTTGTAGTATCCTGGTTACTCTGCTCTGAAACTGTGCAGGAGGCATAGGAATGATCATTCCAGCCATGTTCATTTTGATACCTGAATCAGAAAGAGAACCTTGTGTTAGAAAAGTCCCACAGGTCCGCTTTGATGATTCTTTTATGCCAACTGGAAATGCGCTAAAGAAATGATCACCAAGATTCATCTCTGTACCTTTTCAAGTGTGGGTGACATCTCAAGTCCACTCCAGGTTTCCAAAAAGCCCTCTTAAGACTCTGGTTTCATAACCATTTTGGGGTCACAGTCACTGTTGATGATAAAAGTCACATACAGATTTTTTCCCCAGAGGAAAATACCCATATATGAAAAAGTCTGTAATTTCATAGAGTTTGTGAATTTCTTGAAGCCTGTGATTAAACCTGTCTGATTCTAAGAGCTCTATGGACTCCGGAAAAAGATCACTTTCTTTTAACAGTTCACTTTAGTACATGGCTTAACC